ACTCTCCGAAACCCTCCATATGTTAACAGTCGGACTGAAACGGGTGTCCCAGATGTGTGCCCTGATGCTCTGTGTGTATGTGCAGATCCTCACGGTTGCTTCATGTGCAGAAAGGGAGCCGCACATATGTGTTTCTTATCGAAGACTTTATGGTTTGTTTGTTTGTAATAATGATACTATATGAATTTAAGGGAACATTGGAAAGGAAACTGCAGAAACCTGATATTCTGCAGTTTCCTTTCCAATGTTCCCTTAAATTCATATAGCATCATTATTTCAGGAAACTGAATTCATGACATTTATATACAATTCATATACAATTTTTTTATTTTTTACTACTTCCCACCCACTCAGGAACTTTTAGTTAATGATTTTTAATAGCCAGTAGCCTTTAGTTTACACTGCCACTCAAAAGTTTTTGAAAGAAGTCTCTTCTGCTCACCAAGGCTGCATTTATCATCAAAAACACAGTAAAAACTGTAATATTGTGAAATATTATTACAATTTAAAATAACTGTTTTCTGTGTGAATATATTGTAAAATGAAATGAATTTTCAGCATCATTACTCCAGTCTTCAGTGTCACATGATCCTTCAGAAATCATTCTAATATGATGATTTGCAGCTCAAGAAATGTATTAATGTTGAAAACAGTTGTGCTACTTAATGTGTGGAAACCATGAAACCAGTGAATAGAAAGTTAAAAAGCATTTATTTGAAATCTTTTGTAACATTATATATGTCTTTACTGTCACTTTTGATCAGTTTAATGCATCCTTGCTGACGAAAAGTATTAATTTCTTTCAAAACAAAAAAATATAACTGACCTCAAACTTTTGAATGGTATTGTACATCTGTGGTGGCAAACAACTTTCTATTACTGAATAAGAGACAAACATGTACCAATTGTCTTTAAAGATTATTTATTCCCTTGCAAGGAAAGGTCAGCAGTCATAAGCCCCTTTCACACAGAGATTCCGGAAAATACACGGATAAAGTGACCCGGTATTTGACCCGGGTTCGTTTGATTTGGGTTCATTCACACTGCCAGTGATTTTCCGGAATCAGAGAGTGCGTTCACACACAACCCGTAAAAATCCCGTAAAGACACGTGACATCGATGTGACGTAAAGTCTCAGGAGCGTCTTAATTTGCTTATGAGCTGCGATTTCTCTCTCGGGAAACCACGCTTGTGCATTTTTTCTCTGATTCGATCATAAACTAGCGCATTACATACCTGGCGCTGGCGAACGATCCCGGCTTCAGCGTCATCGTTACGACACGCCATTGATTACGGCTTTTGTTCACACAGCGCGCGTTCCGGGACTGAACACGGCGATGTTACTCGGTCCCCAACCCGGCATCGATCCCGGGTCGTGTTTGCGTTCACACAGAAGGCGTTCTGGCAATTTCCCGGGATCAACGCGCTGTGTGAAAGGGGCTATACAGTCATACAGAGTGTGACAACGAGAGGAGGGCATCCTTCCTTCTTTATAGTCGTCCCAAGGTTATTGCTCTTGGCCAAATGAAGATATGTCTTAGCCATAACTAACACTTCATTAGATTTGCTTATCTTATAGTGGAGGCCCTCTGTCTCAGTCATACACATCAGCCACACATTACTTTTTTTCAAGTCACGTATTCAAGGTCATACACATACATACATTCATAAGGTTTTAGTAACGGTTCTAATTACCATAATGTTTCTAAGATTCTATGAATATTAGAAAATGGAAACATATAGAACATATTAAATTTCTTCCACAGATCACAGCCTTGAATCAGGATTTTCTACTTGCTGTTTAAATTATTTATTTATTTTAAATATGTATCTAGTGAAAGTTCGATAGAAGCATAGCAACACCCTGGCAACCACCTGCTGTACAACACCGAAGCGCCGGAGCTTTTTTCCCCTGTGCTCTTTCTGTGATTTGGCTGTTCATTTTAATGCATTTCCCTGCAGCAAATAGTTACAAAAATAAAGTTGAAGTAACTGGGCTTCTGTTCCCCATCTGTGTGTTTTACAGCCTTGGCTTCGGTAAGGTGGAACCAGAACTGTGCTGAACCGGCCTGACAACCACCGACTCTCCTCCTCCTCCTCCTCCTCCTCCTCCTCCTCCTCCTCCTCTTGCTGCTGCTGAGGGATGCTACTGACGTGAACGAGCCCGGCCTGCTTATCTGTGTGTGTGTGTGTGTGTGTGTGTGTGTGTGTGTGTGTGTGTGTGTGTGTGTGTGTGTGTGTGTGTGAGAGGGATAGAGAAAGATAGAGAGAGAGCAGTTTGTGTGTGTGTGTGTGCGCGCGCGCAGAGAGAGAGCAGTGAGTGTGAGAGGAAGAAAGATAGAGAGAGAGCAGTTTGTGTGTGTGTGTGTGTGTGCGTGCGTGCACGCAGAGAGAGAGAGCATTGAGTGTGAGAGGGAGAGAGAAAGATAGACAGAGAGCAGTTTGTGTGTGTGTGTGAGAGAGATAGAGAAAGCAGTGTGTGTGAGAGAGAGAGATGTGTGTGTGTGTGTGTGTGAGACAGAGAAAGAACAGTGAGTGTGTGTGAGACAGAGAGAGAGCGGTGTGTGTGTGTGTATGTGAGAGAGAGAGCAAGAGCAAGAGAAAGCTGTGTGTGTGTGTGAGAGAGAGAGAGCAGTGTGTGTGTGTGTGTGAGAGAGAGAGACAGAGCAGTGTGTGTGTGTGTGTGTGTGCGTGCATGTGGAGAGAGAGAGAGAGCAGTGTGTGTGTGTGGGTGAGACAGAAAGAGAGAGAGCAGTGTGTGTGTGACAGAAAGAGACACACTGTGTGTGTCACAGTGTGTGTGTGTGTGTGTGTGTGTGTGTGTGAGAGAGAGAGAGAGAGAGCAGTGTGTGTGTGTACGGTTACCGGTACAAGGGAACTAGATTAGAAGAAACTGAGAGAACATTTTAAGAATATTCTTAAATTTGTAGCTTGCCAGAAAATAATTTATTATGTGGATTTTTCTTGCTTCCTCTTTCTCTTTATTTTAAGGGTAGACTGTTCTTTTTATAATGCTGCGTTTGTATGATTTGAAGACTTGTGCAATAAGTTTGATTGTAAGTTTCAGTTTGGTTGATCTATTTCTCCTGAATCGTTATGTTTGTACTCTTCCTTTTCTCTGTTTTAAGGCGAGATGAAATGACCCTTTAACGTCTGTCTGCACCGCACATGTACGATATAAAGACACAGGCTCATAGTATGCTGATTGTTTACTATGCTTTCTTTTGTTTGTTTGTTTTTGTAACTTAATACTGTATTTTCGGGGAAACTGACTAATTAGAATCATGCTTCATATTGTAAATAATCATTGATGGAAAAAAGGCTATAAATCTCTGTCATAGGGCACTTTGAGGTGGTTAATACATTTTAAGACAACTAATAAAGTTTTATTTACACTACATTCAAATGCTCTTTACTCTGCATACAGAAGGTCTTGGAACAATTGTCAGGTAACCATCATCTTTATTCTTACTGTAATATTTACAATCACTGTTGCCCAGATGTGCACGGAATATCATTGCACTGAACGATTACCATATTCATATAGTACCAGTCAAAAGTTTTGAAACATTACTATTTTTAATGTTTTCGAAAGAAGTCTTTTGCATTTATTTGATCAAAAATACAGGAAAAAAATAATATAATAATATTATAATTTAAAATAATGCTTTTCTATTTTAATATACTTTAATATATAATATATTTCTGTGATGCAAAGCTGGATTTTCAGCATCATTGCATTGATGCTAACTTAACAATATAAATCTTTACTATAACTTTATATCAATTTAACACATCCTTGCTGAATAAAAGTATTAATTTCTTTAAAAAAAAAACAATACTCACCCCCAACTTTCGAACGGTAGTGTATATCGTCACAAAAAAAAAACTATTTTAAATAAATTCCGTTCTTTTTTTTTACTTTTTATTTATCAAAGAATCCTGAAAAAAGTATCAGGTTATAAAAAATATTAAGCAGCACAACTGTTTCCAACATTGATAATAAATCAGCATATTAGAATGATTTCTGAAGGATCATGTGACACTGAAGACGGGAGTAGCGGCGGATGACAGAAATATATTATATTTTAAAGTATATTACAATAGAAAACCATTATTTTAATTTGTAATAATGTTTCACAATATTACTGTTTTTTTTTATCAATAATTTCAGGCTTGACGTGCATAAGAGACTTCTTTCAAAAGCATTAAAAATAGTAATGTTTCCAAACTTTTGACCGGTAATATATAACATGATATATATTTTTTTTAATTACCAACATTTTTAGTCAGCATTCAGATTTGTTCCTGAGAATGATCAAGTTTGCTTTTTTTTTAAAAAATATATGTAATATGTTATATGGTGCTCTGAGCCTATGCAACATGTTGCATAGGCTCAGAGCACCATATAACATATATATATATATTTTTCATGATGCAAAACTGCATTGCAAATGTGTATAGTGTGCTTCAGTACTGAGAGCTGCCGGCAGGGGGCGCGCGCTCTGCTTCTGTATGTGAAATGTGATGCTCGTGCGTCAGCTCGCGCGCAACACGCTTTAACTCCAAGATAAACTCTAGACACGCAACAGACTGAGCAGCAGAAGGGAAGAGCCACGCAATGAGACCGCTATTCTAACCTCAACCTCCGATTCACACTCTTAAATCCTCTTCACATGCGTTAAATTCCCAAAGTAGGAAAAGGGACGTAGTTTAAATGTAGTTTTTTTTCCTTTAATTTTCAGACTTTTTATACAGATTTAATTGCTTTTATAAAGTTCTCATGAAATTGGCTTCAGCACTGAGGATGCAAAACAGAATGACGGAACTTTCTACACGGAAAAGAAGTGCTTTGGATGTTTTTGTGTATTTGTGTTTCGTTTCGTTGGCTTATTCCTTTAACATTGACTTGCAACATCCCCTGGTGTTTCGGGGACCAGATGCGACGTTTTTTGGATATTCAGTCCTGGAGCACGTCCATGACAACACACGCTGGTGAG